CAAAATCTTCTGCCCCAAGATTACCAGAACTGTATATTTTTGCAAATAGATCCCGATTTTTTGCAAAAGATACTTTTCGCAGGTGAAACCTATTTCTCCCACGAAGGAATCGTCAATACAGGCAACTGCCATATTCGGTCAATGAGAACCTACATGCTCTCAGACCCATAGGTTCAGCCTAAATTTATGAGCCGATATTTCTGGAAACTATTTGACAAGAAAATGCACAAATAGTAATAAAGTTTCGTCATGTTTAAAGTGTTTTTGCAGACGGGCCATTTAAATTTTCGGCTCGTCTGAACGGACAATATGGAACATTTTTAATCGAAAAGCTATTGGAATTTTTAGAAGAAGGGCCCTTATTAGAGCGTCATAATATGTGGTTTTAACACGACGTGAACAATCGACGAAGAATTAACACGAAGAAAGAAGAGCGCCAGAGTAGAAAGGCTCCAGTCGGTGAGGTCCAACAAGCCAGGATTGGGGAAGGTCTGCCAAAACGACCACACCGTTCGCATTTGGGGACGGAATTGCCAGTGGAGCAAGTTCACCCTTTACAAGGTTGGTCCAGACCTACAGCGATGCGATAGGAGTAAAGAGAGATAGTTTCCTTCGACTCCTGCCATTCAACGTCATCTCCAGAGCCAAGGATATTGGTGTGGTGCTCCATCATACTATGCATAGCACGTATGAGCAATTTCAAACAAACAACTTCCAAATTTATGGATAGAACGTGGTGGCCTTATCAACTGGCCTGCTAGTTGCTCGACTTAACACCTTTAGATAATTGTATTTACGGTTATCTTACAGAATATTTTTATAGAGAAATTATTCATTCTTTGGATGAACTGGAGGACAAAATAACTGAAGCATTAGCAACGATTACGCTGGAAATGTTGTAAAAAGCGGTGTCGGATTTAAGCTCAATGGTCTAGAGATAACGTACGTGTCTCGAAACCTCGGGGACCCGGGTTCGATTCCCGGTCGAGAAACTGGGATTTTCTCGTAAAGAGAAATTAATCTCAGTATACTCGGATATTGGATGAGTTACATTGTCACTTAATGTGTAACCCTCTCCCCGCACAAAGTCATTCCAGATCTTCATGGATAAAGAGAGTTGTAATTACATGTGGTGTTCTTATTAAAAGCCGATGAGCACGCCTTTGTTTAGAAATGAACATATACCTCCTTCAAAACACGTTTCTGTTATGTTCAACTTCATAATTTATTAAATAAACCACTAACCTAGCACAAGCAACCTTTCTTGCGCAAGTTTAATGGCGTCCCGTTTGAAAACCATTGGAATCTCGACATAATAATTGTATTAGAATTTTAGAGTAGTATAAAAATTCCGCTATTAAGAGCTCTTCCGTTGTGACACCCTATATAAAAATATTTTCAATTACAAGGTCAAGATGCGGACATTGGTCCATGCTCTCGAGGTCACATCAGTATTATATTTCCAAAAATACATTACATAATTTACAAATTAATTATCTTGAATTCAGTAACTGTGTTGCACCAACCACTTTGCTTCACGATTTAATATTTTCGTTATGTAAACAATTTGATTATACTTGAAAATCAAGTTAGACCTGATCTCATCTGATCTCATATGGAAATTACATACATAATTTGAATATTTACAAATGTATGCTAATTAAGTAGTTAATTACGTTTCACAATCAAGTATAAGCGACAAAGAACTGAATGCCTGGTTATTGTTATTAAATTATGTGGTTTCTCGCTGTAATGTTAAACATTAATATTATCTGAATCATGTCTACCATATTATCAAATTATTAAATACTTGTAGTTATATAAAAGGAAAATATTTTCAAAACCACAGTGAGACTTTTGAAGTGGAAACATACAACAGCAGCAATTTTCGATCCAAGCTCGAAATAGAGGGGAAGGCAATGGGTGTAATTGTCCGTCAAAAAAATCTTATTCAAGATGGTAATGACATTACATTTCGAAAACTCACATAGATCTTGTTGAAAATATAAATACTTTTGGTAATTAGACAACGTCCGATTTTTGATTTATTTTTCCCCTGATATATCCATTTTTGCTGCTGAACACGAATGTCGAGACAAAAATTCCCTATAGGCTATATGTTTCGAGATATTAGGACGCAAAGTGCCAGAATGTCGCGTTAATCCACTCAGTGTCGGCTGGTGGATTTAGGTTATGCCATATCTCAATATTGATGCATGAACCCAAGCAATATTTTAAGGCACGACTATCGGTACTGAATGAAGAAGTTTTGCAAAAAAAAAATTAAAAAAAAAATTAAGAAAAAAAGTTACGAAAATGCGCTGCCGACCCAGATTACTTCTAGACCATTACTAAATTTTTCACCCCGTTTTTTTTCTTTGGTTTTCGAAAATTTCGATTTTTTTATAAAGTTATGACATTTTGAAATTTACACAATGAAGAACTTAAATTTCAAAATGTCATAACTTTACAAAAAAATCAAAATTTTCGAAAACGAAAAAAAAACGAGGTGATACATTTTCCTTCTGAATACGAAAAAAAATTATTTACTAATGGTCTAAAAGTAATCTAGGTCGGCAGCGCATATTTGTAACTTTTTTCTCAATTTTTTTTTCTGCAAAAGTTCTTCATTCAGTTCTAATAGTCGTGCTTTAAAATATTGTTTGGATTCCAAGCTCCAATATTGAGATATGGTATGGCCTAAATCCACCAACCGCCACTGATCCCACTGCCTATTGCATTCACAAATTTTTAGTTTAATAATATCAATAGGTATTCCTTGAACGGTTTTAAATATTCCAACACATTCACTTTAATAATATTTGCCTGCTATATTCATTAAAAAATACACCAAAATATAACACAATATTCCAAACTATCTTGTAGGTTTATCAGGCTGAATCTAGGGATATTTACCTTCATATTGATAGCTTGGGTACAGAAGGAGTATTTTCGTTGTGGGTACGAGCCGTAAAAGCAGCATGTTCCTTCTTTTACAGTCCTCATCCTCGTAGTGCATACGGGCCGTAAATTATTTCAATAAAATTTGAATATGTAGTTAGCTACTCCAGTATTGCTAACTGTCCAAAGTTAGCGAGAATGATATCGATCAGTCTGATCGAACACTTTCGACTAGCGTCGTTGTCACATATTTCATGGTTTCCTCTTTCTCCATGTCAACTGTCAAATTTCGATTTGTTTACAGTTTAGTTGATGCTTTTCTTTATTTTATTGATTTTTGTATATGAAAATCAAATCGTTTCAAAACTAACGATAGTTAATCTTCAAAATAAAAAGTATGTTTCAATCTGTAATGATGATAATTCTTAAAAATACATACAGACAGTTTTTTTTATTTTTAATGATGTTAATTAATTTAAATGTAATTATTAATATCTACAAGCAATCTACATTTTGACAAATTATATAAAAGCACAAAATTAGTTCAAATTTAAAGACTGTCGAAATCGTCAAATTATTCTGACTTTTAGCGGACAAATTGTAGGTTATGTTTTTATTTTTTCACCTGTCAACGAGTAAAGTTTGTTTATATCCAGATGTCATTTCAACAAGCATGATTTGATTAACGCAGTTGCCCCCTCAGATGTCGATATATTTACGTTGTAGCAGTGGTCCCAACTAGGGAATTTTCCCTATTCGGGGAATTTTTAATGCAAGAAAAGAGAATTTTTGTTGGAAAATGAGATTTTAGGGAATTTTCGCAACAACATAAATTCCAAGGCAATACCTTGCAATTCTTGCAAACAGTAAATAATGAAAAAATCTTATCAGCAAATATAATTTTTGACCGTGGACCCATCAACTTGCCTTTTATAAATTTGCGTCCACATTATTGTGAAACGTTACCCTAATCTACAGATCTACTAGGGTCGCTGACATAAAAACAAAAAAAAAAAGAAACAGGTTGGGAGAGACGTATTTAAATGCTGTTTGTGTTTTTAGAAATGCATTGCAAGGTGCAGAAATCGGCGTCACTAAGTACGATATTAATTACAATGAGCAATATATTAAGTTACACAAAACTGATATGTATTCTTTTAAAAAAATAACTGCTAAAATATTGTTGTTTCTGTTTTTCTCGATTATAGTGTATGTTACAGTTTATACAAATACCCATTTCATTTTCTTTTCAATATTATATTTGAGAAAAATATAAATATAATTAAATGAAATTTTAGTGCTAAAAAGGGAATTTTCGGTGCCTGTTTAGGGAATTAAAAAGGTTGTGAACAATTGTTTGTAGTTTTATTTATAATGTTAAAGACATTGGAATAGTAATTTTTACTACTTTCCATTTATTTCATTTTTACTTCAATTAATACTTTTTTCGAATGATATATGTATACCGGATGGTGTACGTCCGACACGTACACGGGCACTGTTAAGAAAGAAGTCATGTATTGGGCCTCTATCGCATAGCCGCATATCCGACATAAGTACACCAATTTGTGTATACATATTCAAAAAAAAAAGAATAAACATATAAAAGCAGTTTTCAAAATTTGTTAACTACAAAATTACACGAAAATATGAGATGCCTCCAAGGACACTGCGTCTAATTAAAATTAATGATGTCAAATTTCCGGACACTTAAATACTAATTAAAATAAAAAAAAACTTACGTAAAACTACGCACAGATTAAGTCAGTTTCTTTCCTGTCTAATAATAGTGGTTTTAAAATTACAAAATTTAAGAGATCACGAACAAACTACGATAACAAACCGTTGATTATATTAAACTGAGATTTGATGAGTTTAAAAGATAAAAATAGGCATATTTTTTGCATATAATTAATGATGTTGCTTTTATAGTTGTTGACTTACTTGAGCAGGTACATAAAATGTCCGTATCATATTCCATGCCTGAGAAACTCAAAATAGGTTATTTTATTCATTAATAATTCCGAAGTTCTGAATAGGAAAAAAACTTTTTAATTATAGATTTACGAATAAAATCTCTTTATAAAAAATTGTGCTTTTTTTAAAACCCTCAACCATATACGCATTTTGAATTACGATTATATGCAGGATATCCACAGCTCACGTATGAAATAAAAATTTCTTTGTTTATTGATTTAAGAGAAAAAAAATTATTTTTTGTAAACAGTTCTGTATATCTTAAAGCTCGTTAATATCAATTTAAGTTTTGATTTATCTATAAGGTATCAACGGCTGATTTCCAGAATTAAGAAAAATCTATTTTTTTAACCATTTTGCTTCTATACAACCCTTAAATAAAAATTAGAACATTCATATTCACAGTTATTTTCTTTCTAAACTTATATAGATTGCTTATATTTTTGACACTGTATACATAAATTAACATTTTAATACTTATTTATAGGTTTTGAGGAAGCAGCATACTTTACAAATAATAACTTACCATTAATTAATTTTGTTTTAATTTTGGAATTCAATGTTGACACCTTGTAAATTAGTCAACCTTGAATCGGTTTGAAGTACTTTTTATAATGATACTCTTTTTTCTTAGAAATCAATAATAAAGAAAGTTTTACTTTATTTACTTCATACGCGGACACCCTATATACATACAAACCGTACCATTAAGAATATGATAAAAATTACGGTAAACTACAAGTAGCCGCCTGGCTACTACCACATTTACATTGCCATACCACATTTAAATTATATATATCCGTGTCCACAGTTCGAAAGAGAAACAACTTTTTTTTGCTCGTGCTGAACGAAAAAAGTCTCTATTGACCTGCCATTTTTATTATAAAATACTCGTTATCACTACTGGGTTTACCAAAAAATGGAATTTAAGTGTAGATAATTTCCAAAAATGTTTAAACATTTTCTGAGTAATTTTAAAACCGTGCATTATAAATGAAATTAAGCAAAATATTCCTATACAAATTTTCTGTGGAGAATCGTTCCCCACTACTGGTTTTATTGTAGTGTTCTCTGTCGTATCATTTGTTTTGTCTTTTTCTTCCCTCTCCTCTTCCT